AGAGTACCATTTATTGAATTGTTTCACTGTTCTTGGTACTTTCCTTGGTACTTTTTAGGCATTACTACATTTTTACACCTTCCATGACTCAAGGAAGTAGGCCTGGCTATTTCCCCCATTTTCCAGCTAAGAACACAGATCCCACAAAAGGTAAATACCATAGGTAAGATCACAGCAGTGTGGTTAGAATTTGAACCAAGTTTTGCCTTGTTTCAAAGCTCAAGCTTTGGAGTCCATTGGGGTGCTAAAGTGAGCCTTGTTAACAGAATCACGAGAAACAGAGAAAGGGAAATATGTTCCCACTATGTGTAGAGTTGGGAAAGCTGTTGGAGTTTTGTACTATTTCTCATTTTTTATAAAAGCAAACTGACCCAGACTAAGGGTTATGCGCTATCAGAAACTATTGAAAAATACTACAGCAGTTTTCCCTTAAAAAGTAAAAAATTCAGATGAGAATTGGTAGAAGTTTCACATATTTGGGTGGAGTCCTGTTGAAGGGAAATAAGATTTGTTTTGTATACTCATTTACTGTAAAATCCCATAGAAATAACATGAATCCATTTTTGAAGTCAATGTCAGAAGAAGCTTTGTGATCATTTTAGTTGTCTGTTGATGGAGATGCTATTTTAGGAAACAATGAAGTCATAAAATTATTAGTTTCTACAGATATTTAAAAAGACAGGTCTTCTAATTCAGAAGTGTTCTCTGCCACCTCAACCTCACCTATAACCCTAACCTTTAACCCCAAATATCTGTGTTAGTTATATTCAAAACATGGTGTTGCTGTCTTTCTCGGGGCACTTGACACTTAATACCGTCTATGGCGATTATTCTGTGCTCTGAAGCTCTCAGTTACTGAGGCCAGGAATTGAGTCTAATTCATCTTACTCCATAATGTTAACTCCCTAATGCTGCCTTGCAAATCATTCATATCCATACAGCAGAATTGCCTTGCTCCTGCACAAAACCACAGTGTATTCCTTACCCCAATTTCACTGCTAACTGGTTCTGTGACATTGGGCAAGCCCATTAAACTTGATTCAACCCTCTGTGTCTTAGTTTACTCATCTGTAAAACCAAATAACTTACTGGACTTCCTATTACAGCTAAATTAGTTAAATCCATAAAATTTGTTAGAACAGGAATGGGCACATAAAAAGCACTATAAAGAATCTTGTATTGCAGTAATTTTTCAATGCCTCACTCCCCAGTGAGACTTTGGGATACTCAGGGGGAAAGGACCAATTCATGTCTTTGCTCCTAAGTCTGATGTGTGGCATATAGTACATGCCTTGCGTGTGTTGATTGAAATGAATATATAATCATAGGATGGCAGAGGGGGCAGACAATTGAAGATGTGAGACTTTTGGAAGGACGTTAGAGGTCACCCAGAATAGTGATTTCTACTCCTGTATATTAGTTTATTTCAGTACTGTTAGTATCAATTAGAATGTTTGTTACAGTTTTAGATTCTGTATCCCACCCAGGAAGAGAGTTTTTTGGGTAGGAACTCAGGAATGTGAGTGTTTATTGATTTCTGCAGGAGATTTTTGGTGTCTAGCACAATACTTTCCTCAGTCAGTCTTCCATTTTATAGATGGAGAGTCTGAGACATGGAAAAGTCATATTATCCCAGAGTCAGAGAGTGTAGGAGTGACTGAGTGAGGTTAGAGCTCAGCTCTTTTAATGTCTAGGCCCCTGGGTTATGGAGGGGATTTTTGGATTGTCTGCAAAGGTTAGATAAGTTGACTTCCAAAATAACTAGACATTTAGCCAGTTAGTCTTCAGAGAGTTGTTCAGAGACAGCTAATGAACATTTTTTTCTGGGATGTCCAGCCAAAGGTCATATAGATCTTTTCATTGTAGGAATTTTAAATGTGGAACAGGAAAGAAAGCCTCTACACAGATAAACACTGGAGAAAATGGGAAGTGACAAAGCTGGATATGTGGACAGCTTTCTGTGCATTGGGGAACAAACTGCTTGGCTAACATCTTGTGTCCTGAATTGTGGAGACATTTTACTCTCCTCACAGAGGTGACTTGTGTCACTATGTTTGTTCATGTCCTGCTCCTCCAAAGAGAACTAACCAGCTGCTTGGTTTAGAGTTTATTGTCTTAGAAGACCTCACTTTCTATTATCATAATTAACATCAGATGCAAATTTTCCTTATGCAATCACATATTTAATTATTATTATTGCCAACATTTATTGAAATAGCTAATATTAACTAATGTTTATTGAGTACCCACTCTGTACCAGGTGCTGTTTTATGAGTTTATTTTTATTAATTTGGTTAATCCTTTGTCAAAGGAAAAGGACACTTTAAAAATCTTTAACAGTATTTCAAGCTGGATTTATTGTTTGTCAAGTAAGGGAGAGCTATGCCTCTTTTGGAACAGAACAAATATCATTCATCATGCTTGAATAGAGTTTTGGAAGGCGTGGAGTTGAGGAACTGGGGGAACCACAGAAGTGAGAGTGCTTAGGAGTGAAGTAACTGGCTCTCAGAGGGAAGTGGGACTCCTGGGGTTAGCCTGGTTGATGAACTAAGTCTCAGGAGTCAAATGACTGGCAAAGGGAAAAGGAGAGAGTTCAAATAATAGGTGCAGAGAGAAGCCTGAAGAGGAGAGAAAGGAACTTCCTCGCATGGTTTCCTTTAATAATCCAGAGACTACAACCTGGAGTGTGTCTACTGACTCTGTTCCCAGGTTTTTCTTATGAGCCTGTTGAATCTTTTCTAGCCCATCAGCTGTGTTCTGCATCTACACCATCGCTTGCTGAAGCTATCTTCTGCTTGGATTAGGTGAAGTCTTCTCCTAATGGGGGACAGGATCAGGCGCTTGTTTGATGAGAGAAGGAGTCATGAATGGTTTGAGCAGGGGAGTCATGTGATCTGACCTAGCTCATCAAGGGCTATTGGAGCTCCTGTGCTAAGAGCAGTCCATGTGGCCCTGGGCGGAGGCTGGGGTTAGTTGCAAGGTTACTGCAGTGCCACAAGCATTGAATGGTGGTTTGGACTAAGGCAGTAGGGGTAAGGGTGATGAAAAGGAGTCAGATTGAGTACACATTCTTCATGGAAGATTTCTCCAATGAAAGACTATATTAATACCAGTATAAACTCTAGCAATTTTAATGCACTTCCTGCTGATGTATCCTCAGAAGACTGTAGCTTAGCCTGTTAATGTCTCTAGAGAGTGTCTCCAAACTGGGCCAGTGCAGGCAGAAGCAGAGGCTTGTTATGACAGCTGGCAATGGAATACAATGGAACTATTCAGAAAAAGGGCATAATCCTGACCCAAATCTTTATAGGTTTTTAAATAGTATTTTCTCCTGGATAACTGTATGAATTATAGGGGTTTACTTGATTGAGGTGAAGACAGCAATGATTTAAATTTCACTGGTATTCTGAGTATAAATGGGTGTTTGACATTTTAAAGTTTATCTTGAGAGAAAAGAGACATAAAGACAGACAGATAGAAAAATGACAAAGATGTGTTTGTGTATTTGTGTATGAGAGAGAGAGAGAGAAGGGGGAGAGAGCGAGCGAGAGAGCGAGGGCGGGGCGGGGCAGGCTCTGGAAAGGCTAAAAGCTGCTGTTATTCCCTGGGCAATAAAAGTCTGAACTCCTACTAATGATGTTTAAAATCCCTAACTTTTTCTGTGCACTTAATAATAGCACTGCCAACTGACATAACCAGGGTTCCCAGAATAATCGCCCTCTTTCTCATTTTATTTTTAAGACCTAAAAAACTTTTTTTTTGAAGGGAAAGTACCTGCAGATGCAGAGAATTTCCATGTAAAAGCTCAATTCTAGGGTTTCAACATTTGGTCCTAAACCATGTTAAGTGGATTCTTTCAAGTGAAGGATAAATGAAAGTGAAGGGTGAAACTGAAATCCATCATTGGTGCTCTGGAATGTTTCTCCTTAGTGAGAAGACAAGATGGATCCTTTTCTGAAGACTCCATCTTTTCCCAAATTGGGGAATCTTCCTGTGATGCTTTTATCTGGTGCCTTTGTAGACACCATTTTATTGTCAATAATAGAACTAAAGGTTTATAAAACTTTAGAATTTTATCAGAACATTTAACTATGAGGATAAACTTATCAGAAGCATAATACTTGCTAATACTATGCAGCCCCCCAGTAAGAACAGAAATATTTTAAATATATATTCAGAAGGTTTTAAAAGTAAACCATCAACACATTTAGGTGGATTTAAAATATAGGGTACTTTGAGAAGTCAGTGCTATAAAATACTTTACAAATTGTTTCCGTAATTCTCTATAATTAAATGAACTTGTACAAGGAGAGAGACTGGTTAGAAAAAGAGAATGTGATCTGATCCAGTCAAGACAAATATTGGTTAAATATCTGGATTATGTTGCCAGAATTATTTCTGTGGAGGGCTATTTTGGGTAAGCAGTAACCCTTCTTCTCAGGTATAGATTTCCATGTTAACTTTTTAGCCTTTAGTCACTGACAGTTGTACTGTCCCGAGAATGTCTGGTTCCTCCTTCCCCCTGTTTTTAAGCTGCACAGTGAAGTTTAAAGGCACCAAAGACAAATTTACACAAGCTGTCCTATACTCACTTTCCTGTCATCCTTTTTGCAGGGAATGCCTGTTGGACTCAGGTGAGGTGCTTCCAGGGATGAACCAGTGTCTCTAATATGTAATGTTATTTAGAAATGGGCTTAAAATGTAAAGTTAAGATTAGTGATATGTTATTATTGCTCCTTCGTCTTTCAGGATGATTTAGTAAAAGGGAAATTAGAGTTAAATTTAACCATTGCAAGACAATATCTGTACATGAAATAGACATGGGCTTGTGTTCACAAGAATCAATCAGACTTATGCCTGAAAGGTGTTTTCAAGAGTGAATAAAATTGGCTGCCTTTACATTTCCTGGGCTTCTCCTGACTCCCTGATGATAAACAAGATGTTGCAGGAAAGGAAAATGGAGCTTTCTTCCTGTGCAGACTTTGTAATTTCGTTCACAGAGAAAATGACCAAGAACTATGTACACCTAAAGGAAGACAATACTTACCTTTGGAGAAACACATTTACGTGAGCCAGTCCTTCAAGAAGGAAGCAGCTAGCTCTCTGCCTTTGAAGATTTCAGTATTTACTTGAAGGTGACCAACATGATCTCTCTCTGTTCCATCTATGATTCAGACACATCAAATACAGGACGCAACTTTATAAAATTCAATTTGGTATTCCAGTCCCGAAATGCTTTATTGGTTCCTTGAGGAAAACAATTTGTGTATGGCCAGGTGCTGTTTTCTTTACCTCTGCACAGAGCTTCCTCCTTGGGCTTGGAAATGCTAAGTGAGTTTGCACAAGGAAATGAAGGCAGAGGCTTGCGACCTCAGTTACATAATTTATTTATTCAATGTACCAGTTTCTGAAAGTTAGAACAAAGATTATATGCTTTTTATTTTAAGGGGATATTTATAGCATAGAGGCAGTATTAGTTCCAGGTGAAATTTGAAGGGCTCTTTCTGCTTGTTTTCTCCAAAGGTCCAACTGTGATGGGGGAAGAGTATACCTAAGGAAGGGATCTGGTGACAATCACTTGTACGTTTGTACAATATTCCAGTTAATATTATACTTTCCTTAAAGGGTAGTTGTTTTGTAAACCATCTCTGATTATGGAAGACATCATTTTTCCAACTTACCAGTCAGGATGGGAATTGCGTATACACAGTGATCCCTTCCTGATTAGACCTGAAATTATACTGAAGCTCTGGTTATGCACTTCCATGTGCTAACTCAGCTCATACAGGTGAGCATATGTAAAAAGGCAAACTTACTTATCCCATAAATTGTGACTTTATCAAATTTCCTTAACTCCATCAGGCCATTGGGTACCATAAAAAATTGTCAGTTTCAATATCCTAAATTGTGGCTTCATGAATGAACGAAGGTATGCCAATTTTAAGCTGGAATAATGATATATGTGATTTTTTGTCTACATTTCATTGTGTGAGCTGGTTAGATTATTTCTGAAATATATTTTGTTCCTATTTTTCTAGGAGATACTAATCAGCAAGAGATGGCCCTTCCAAGCAAGAAGAATGCTATTTTGGTGGATGGGGTTGTACTGAATGGTCCGACCACAGATATAAGAGCAGGAGAAAAATTTGTTGAAGAGGCCTGTAGGCTAATAATGGAAGAAGTGGTTTTGAAAGCTACGGATGTTAATGAGAAGGTAAAAATGAAAATTTATAATAAATTCCAGAAGTGTGAAAGGTAGATTTTTTTCTGCTGATCTGTATGGTTGTATGTAAGGGAAATGAGAAATGTAAACTTTCATTTCCTTTATACTTTTGTCTCAGGAGGATGTGCAGATACCAGAGTTTGGGTCATTTCTCTCCCTGACCCCCACTCAGTATCTGTGTTCATGAAGGGTCACTCATCATTTGTTAGGAGAATGGCTGAGACTCCTGGCCCCAACAAAGCCAGGAAGCAGAGAGATGACGCTTCCTGCCTTTGGTAATAATTTAGATTATAAATAATCTGTGGCTATGGTGTATACACTCTGTAAAGCACTTTGCTCTCCATTCTCTTGTACATATTCTTTATTGCTGTTTACAAACCCCCAAGCAACAGGTGTTATTTACTATTCTCATTTTAGAGCTGAGGTAGATAGTGAGGGATGAAAGGGCCAAATATTTTGCCCAAAATATCATGCTATTAAGTATCATAGCTAGGGCTAAAATCTAGGCAGTCTAGCATCCGAATTTGCCCTAAAATTCCCTTCCATATGTCTCTAAGAATCACTGTATTATGTTTTATTGCATTGATGACTTTTCATGTTGGAGTTGAATGACCAACAAATGAATGTGTGGGAGAGATTTCTCCCCAACTATATTAGTGGGAAATAAATATCATTTTAAAACATTTTAATGTAGTGTTATTACTTCTAAATTTTTGGTCACATGCATTTGGGAAAACTAATAGACTAGATTGATGTTACCTGTGAACTTGGAATAGTTATGTTTGAGGCAAAAATCATTAAATGGGATTTCTTATCCATGCAGATTATGTATTTGTAATTGCATCTTTTCTGGTCTTCTTTGGACTTACGAAATACTTTGGAGCTGGTCTGCTCTGGAGCATACTGCTCCTCTGGCAAGTTATTTCTTAAATTGGCCTTTATTCTGTCATTAAATATTAACTGGTAGCTACTGGTAAGACATTATATTCAGCCCTGGAGGATTTAAAGAAACACAAGATAAAGGCCCAGCTTTGAGCAGAATTTATAATCTAATTGAAAGGGTAAATTTTCAATGGCAAAGAGATCAGAAAGTTCCAGTGAGAATGTGATAAATGCTGAGAGTTTGGGGAGGGCTTTTGGGATTTTAGAGAAGAATATGCACTTTGAGCTTTAATGTATAGTGTAAAGGTTAAGTAAGATCTTGGTGGGCAGAGAAATCAGATGGGACACTCAATTCTAGGGATGTTAAAGAAAGCAGAAAGGTAAATAATGGAAAGACCATTTTAAAAGACAAGATTTATTTAACATAGCAAAAGGATGTTTCCTTCTGGAAGGAGAGCTCACACAGGGCTGATGGGACCTAAGAAGAGAAGGAAGACTGGGGTCTTTTAGCAATTAAGCAGCCTCATGATGATCCCAATGTGGTGGATGTGCAGGCTGTCTATCCATTTCAGTAGCAGTGAAAGCTCTTTGGGGTTGAGAGGGTGGTGAAGTTTTTATACTGCTAACTTAGCCTACTTTGTCTGAGCTCCAACAGGACACCATTACAAGGTGACCTGCAGATGCATTACCACAGTCAGTGAGATGACTACTTTTAGTCCCCTCTGCAATAGATCATTTTCTCAACCACTTTTTTAAAAAAGTGAGTTATAATTCATATTCAGCAAAATTTGCCCCATTCACTCAGTTCTGTAAGCTTTGACAAGTCTTCTAAGTAACCATCACCACAGTCAAGATATACAACAGTTTCATCTCCCACCAGATTTCCCTGTCCCATTTCCATGGCCATTCTCTTCCCCCACCTGCTCTTCTGCCTCCTACAAACCACTGCTTTGTTTTTTAGCCCTGTAGATTTTGTCTTTTCCAGGATGTCATGTGGATAGAATCAGTCATATGTAGCCTTTTGAGACTGTGGTTTTCCCTCATTAAAATCAATTTGAGATTCCTCCATGTTGTTGAGTGTATGCAGAGTCATGTCTGTGAGTTGTTGCAGGCACTTTTGCTTTACCTCTGCCTGTTGCTGATATATCACCAGAATTTAATTTCATACCTTTCACACAACTTGATATTTCCTCCTGCCCTCCTATCAACTTCCCACTTCCCAGTATTCCCACTCCCTGGCTATTCCTTGGTATCTCTCCTCCCCTCCATGACCAAATTTTTAAAAAAACTGTTTTTTAAAAACTTCCTCCCTCTACTTCTTCACCTCCCACATTCTCTCTTCGCCACAATCTGGCCTCCACCCCCATCTCTCTGTCAATCTGCTCTTGCTAGGAATACCTCCTTGTTGATGCATCCTATGAACACGTTTCAGTCTTTTTCTACTTTGGCTTCTCATCAGTGTTGGGCAGTAGTGAGCATCTCCTTAAAACATCCTTTGTTCTTGGTTTTGGTGGCACTGAACTCCTAGGATTTCCCCTCTGCTCTGGCCTGTCTTCCACCTACCAGGAAAGCTCCTAGGCCCATTGATATTTCCTAGGGGTGTCCTGTGCCTTCCCCTCCTTCCTGGAGGCTCTCTCTGAGGTATGCCATCCATCCACTGTTATATCATAGTGTATCCTGGAACTCTGTCCCTGGTTTTGTATGTAACCCTCAAAAGACTGCTATACTGGGGTTAGACGTTCTGAGGTTGTCTTAGACCAGATGTGCTCAAAATTCATCTCTACCCTGCTCTCAAAAAGAGCCTTCTCCTGCTATGTCACCTTCTCCTAGTTCCTCTTATAGCCATCAAACCCTGTGTCCAGGAGAGAAATCCCAAGGTCATCTTTGGCTCATTCCTCTTTCTCACCTTCAACGTCTAATTGATTCTGGATTTTAAATACATCTAGAAACTATATACTTCAATTCTACAGAATCTCCCTTCATCCAGACAGCCACTTTCTCTTGCCTGATTTATTATAAATATCTCCTATTTCTAACTGTTTTCAGAATTTTCACAAAGCTATTGTCTAAACTACAGATATGACCATTTCATTCCCTATCCTAAACATTTCAGTGACTTTCTTAGATCCAAATCAAACTCAATAACATGATCCATGAAGCCTTTAGCTCTTCATTTATTCTTCTTTTATTCAACAGATCTTTATTGAGAACGTATTAAAGAGTGGGCTTTATGTTCATTACTTGGGATCAGTGAAAACAGACCAAGAGGTCTAATCTCGTGGAGATTACACAGAACAGAGTAAATAAGCGAATAATAAAATATCTTGGAACATGGTAAGTGCTATGGAATAAAGAAGAGTAGAGAAAGATTGGGGAGATTGATAGAGATTAGGTAATGGACAGGTAGTAATTTTAGTAAGGGAGTTAGGATTGTTGTCATTGAGAAAGTGACACATTTGAGCATAGTTTTGGGGAAAAAATGAAGTAGTTAGCTATGAGCATATTTGGGGAAGAAGGATTCTAGGGAGAGAACCCTGTCACGCAAAGTCTCTAAGGTAGAAACAGGCCTCATCTATTCAAGGAGCAAGAAGGCGAGTCAGCCAGGAGGTAGGTGGTGCTAGATGACACTAGAAAGGAAACACGGCTAGGAAAAACAGGTTATACAGGGTCACTTCATGCCCTTCATTTTTTACTTTGAAGGAAGTAGCCATTGGATGTATTTGAGTAGAAGAGTGGCCATGGCTTAGGTATAAGAAAATCACTCTGGCTCCCAAGTTGATAAATTATATGAGGAAAGGGTACAAACTTCAGAAGTAATTGTAGTATACAGCTTTACTTGCTTTGCTTTTCCTTAAAATCTCAGTTCTAGCCACACCAAATGTATTTGATTTTTCACATGTACCACAGGCTCCCTTGATTTTCAGCCTTTTTTACTTCTGTTACTTCTGTCTAGAACATCCCTGGTATTATGTCATCCCCTGACCTTTGCTTGATTTACTCTATTTTTACTTAGTGCTGCAAATTGCATATCTCTCATTTCATCCAGGAAATCTTTGACCATGCCGATGTAGGATGGGCCCTTCACTTATCTCAACAACATGTGCATTGCTCTCATAGCTCTTTTCATGCTAAAGCAGGGCTGCACGGCTGGATCTCCACGTCTCCCACTTCTCTGGGAGCTGCCTAAGATGCAGTCCATGCTTCACACCTCTCAGTCCCAGGCTCTGGTGGGTACTCCATTAATTGCAGGTTGTTGCTGAATCTCCAGGTGTGTGAATGGCAGTCTCCTGAACAGCTGAAGCAACTTCTTGACTTGGAGATGAGAGACACGGGCGAGCCCCATGACAGGCTGTTGCAACTCTGCCGAGATGTCATACGCTTCAGTGTCAAAACTAGTGAGAACTTCAGTTTACTTCTTGTCTGTGTACCTCTGACAAGTTCTTGCGTTTTTAAAGCATTTATTTACCTCTTAATGAATCTGCATATGATAATGTTTAAGGAATGAGAAACCTGGATAAAACAAAATAGTGTTTCTGGTGTTTTTACCATGTTTGGTTTAATCCAGATTTGTTGTCAAGACCAAAGATAAATTAACAGGAAAACTGTTGGTGTATTGTAAATATTATCTATTCCTTGCCAATCTCAATCTTCCATTTATAACCAAGACTATATATTATCACTGCTGCTTAACATTTCTCAAGTTCCCTCAAACTAGCAAACGGTATTTTAATTATATGAACTTGCTAAGGGATTTTAAATCTTTATGGGCCAGAATGTGTAAAAAAAATCCAAGAAGGTGTCTTTAATATAAATAGGATTTTTTGTTTTGGAGGACAAAGATTAAGTCTTAGCACTTGCTAATTACTAAAGTATTTGACCAAGTCTTTCAGAAACAAAAAATAAAAACTTTCATGTAAATATAAGAAAAATAAATACATAGTAAGCTTTTCTACAATGTTTCACACTAATGCCATGATCACTCTGATTTTTTTTCTGATTTTTTCAGTCTTATACTGAAGTAATTTTAACTTGACTATTAATATCTATATATCCAGTGAACAGGTTGCAAAGGTGAGAGAGTAACTTTCCAAAATAAGCGTTTCTCAGTCTAATATGAAGGCTATCTAGTGCTTAAAACCATGCAGACATTATACTTTGTGAATTCTGACACTGGACTAAATTTAGTGGAAAAAAAATAATAAAATCCTGGCTAAAAATAATTGGATTATATTCCCTTGGGAAAGTCTCGTGCATGTATCAAAAACTCAGTTAGCATTTCAAAAGGAGAGATACATATCTTATTATTATAGTGCATGTCAGAAATGTAGAATGACATTTAACAGAGTAGATTTTTCAGTTTACTGGATATTTTCCATAATGTTACCATGGAAATCAATCATAAATTAACACACACTCAAAAAAAATCTTATTAAAATTACTTGTAGCAATGTCTGGTTTCCTTTACCAGATTAGAGGATGTTTTCTATGTTTTAATTGAAAAGACATTTTCTTTTGATTTTTTTTTAATAAACCCCCGTTTAAAGAGGAAAAAAACCCCACTGAAACTAAATTCTGTAAGTTGTCATGAGGGGTCCATAACTAAAATGATTCCCGAATACCTAAAAGTACAAATAGACTTACTACTTCTTTGTTCTTTGTCATGCTGGGCTGCCTATGGCTTAGAATGTCAAGGCAGATAGCCTGGTGTTGGGTGTGAATATTCGCACTGTGTAAAGCCAAGAACCTTTATGAGGTCTTTTATGAGAAAAAATATACAGAAAGTTGGAACTGGAAATCGTTTAAGTGTTAAAGGAGACTGTGTTTGAAGTAAGTTGAATCAGGAAACCTGTGTCAGCTGCATGATGAGTCACATCCCACTCTGTCTACATAATGCCATCACACTGGCCAATCTGAAAAATGAAAAGGCCACGCACAGCTTTTAGCCTGAGGTGAACCCTGTTGGTGAGAAACATGTGTTTGAAGTGAGAGAAGTTAATATTGATAGTTTCAGAAGATGAAGGCAGCAAGCTGTGGAACTTGGAAAAACAGTGTTCAGATCCATTTCTCAAGGGTTCTGGTTGGTTATGAATTGTTGAAAAGAGCAGTTGGTAAATCAAAGCTCTTAAGAGGGTGCTTACGTTTTGCATAGAAATGTTCAGTAGAAAGGGTTTAAAGAAGCTTGTTAACATTTTTTTGTTGTACACAATCATATTTTGAATATTTAAAAAATTGAGGTATAATTTGTATTCGATAAAGTGCACAGATCTTAAGCACTCACATCAGTGAATTTGTATGTATCTATACATTGGAATTATCACCCAGACAAGATTGTGACCATTTCTAGCATCCTGGAAGGTCCTTGAGGCCTGCCAATCAAGAGATCCTTCACCAAAGTACCCAGAATTCTAACTTGTATCTCCATCCGTGGATTTGCTGATTCCAAATGCATATAAATAAGCATGCTTTCATTGTTAGAAAGACTCATTTAAATTATTGCTATGCTGGTAGTTTCTTTTTTAAGTTGATGCATAAATAAATACTTTGTTTTAAATTTATAGACCACCCAAGATTTTTCAACCAACTATATGCTGGACTTGATTATTACTCGTTGGTGGGCCGATTTATGACCGAAGCATTAAATCCTAGTGTGTAAGTACCATGCTACTGGAATTTCACACTGAAAATGGACTAGAGATTTTTTTTTTAAATAGGTGAAACTTTACTTAGTGAATTTCTATTTAATGATTTCTTTTGCATAATATAATCATAAGTAACAGAATAATCTTATGACAGTAGTATTCAAAGAGCTGTTTGATGTATATGGTGGTACTGTGAGATAACAAGGGAAGCATTGTTATCTCCATTTAACAGATGAGAAAATCGATTAAGTAACTTTTCATGCATTGTTACATGAAGAGCCATATCTGTGTAACTGCTAGAGAGAGACTTTGAATAACAAGCCTTGACTCTGCTTTTGTGAAGCATAAAAGTCCATTGAGAGCAAAAGAGAAGCTAGCCAAAATGCTCTTAGTGTAAAATTAATGTAAAATTCAGACTCTCATATGAAGGAGATGTGTGGGATACTATGAATATAAGTGGGGAAATTTTTCCAAGTTGGGAGCTCAAGAAAGTCTTCTCTGAAAAAATTACAGCTTCAAATTAAAGAAGCAGTGAGAATTGATTAGGTGAAATGGTAGAGATCAGCTCCAGTTAGAAGAAATGACATGTAAAAATGCCCTGTGGTGGAAGACAGTATGGCATACTCGAATGAACTGAATGACTCATGTAAGTATAGCTGATGGAGCTACAGGGAGCATAGTGGAGGATAAGACTGACAAGATAGAAACCAAACATGCAAGGGCTTGTGGAGCCATGTTTATGAGCTACTCTAAATATATTGGAAAGCCCTGGAAGGTTTCAAAATACCTTAAATTGGTATTTAAAAACTTGCTGAAAATATAGAGAGCAGATTGCAGGTAACAGGAGGAAATTTCCTTAGGTGAGATATAATAGTAGTTTGGGTTTAGATGACAGTGGAAAGAATAGGAGAAAAATGCTGTGTTTGGAAGATAAAACATAAGGAACAGTATTTCATGCTGGACCTTGGAAATGAAGGCAAAAGGGAGGATTTTAAGGTAATGCCTAGGTTTCAGGATTGTTCATTTCACCTTGCTCATTTTCATGTCATTCATTAATATAAAAAGTATTGGGAGATAGAACCAGTTTTCAAGTATATAGTGGAAAAGGTAAGATCAAGAATTCAATTTTCAATTGTGAGCATTTGAGTTTTCAGTGATAATCAAGAATATATGTCAGCTAATCTGAGAGATATATAGGCCTGGAATTTTGTTATGTATGGGAAAGGTATACATTTAAAACTTACCAGCAGCGTGATGGTAATTGCAATAGTGGACATGGACAAGATTCCCTAAGTCAGTAATTTTCAACCTTAACTGCTCATTAGAATCAACCTGGAACTATAAAAAAATTGATGTATAGGCTCCAACCTGGACTAATTAAATGTGAATTTCTGGGGGTATGTCCCACTCATTGGTATATTGACAAAGCTCAACAAATGATTTTAAGGAGCCTCCGTGATGGAGAACCACCAACATGAGGACGGAGGATAGATTGGCAAGATGAAGGCACAGGCCTGGGCCTTGAGGCATGCAGCATTTTATGGGTAGAAGGAGGAGAGATAAAGAGTAAATCAAGGTTACAGGCATGGAAGCCACAGAGGACAACGTGTATAATGCCACATGTTGAGTAGTTAATGATGACGAAAACTAAACAATGTCCACTGAGTTATTAATATGGATATCATTGGTCCAGTGATGGGAATAGACACCAAGTTACAATGAGTAAAAAAAGAAACAATAAAGTAAGCCAAAGAAGATAGTAAAATTATCCAACAGGTTTTCTAACCGCTCATCTGGGTCATTTAATCTGAAATATTTAGAAGTTTTTAAAATACTACCTTGTGGCTAAATGAAACCATCCACTCAAAATTTGACCCACCTTTGAGAGCATTCCACACCACCCTCTTCTCTACCTGAAGGTCTATTCTGAAGTGTAGATTTGAGCTAGTTTTTAGTGACCGATTTGATATTAACTTTTTTAATACAGATTGAATAATTATTTTATTTACATCAGGTTATACATGAGCATATATCCTTTCATACTCTAAGTATGTACAAACTGTTATCAGTTAAAAACAACACACCTTGGGCTGGGGATTTAGCTCACTAGTTTCACTGCCTGCTTCACAAGTGAAAGGACCCGAATTCGATCTCCGGTACCAAAAACAACAACAGCAACAACAACAAACAACAAAAAACACATCTTATTTTTAAAGTGATGTAATGTTTGTGGAGCACTTGGCATATGGATGAGGGTAAAAGGTATTCAGTTTTCTTGCCTTCATTTCAAAGCTTTTCCTTCCAGTTAAAATAATTTCATCCAATTTTGTGACTATGAAATTACATGCTTAGCCTACATATTTAGAGTACAAATTTATTTCACATTTAATGTAATCACCTAATTGATGCAATTAGAGATGTGTAGTTCCCCTCAAGATGTCTGGAGAGAGAAGAGACTCAAACATTAGTTTGTGGTCGCTGGGAAGCCCACCCTAGTTGGAGCTTGGAGAGTAGCATAGTGTGATGTTCATTATGGGGCACCCTTGGGATGAATGTGAGAACCCAGGAGTGGGTTAGAAGGTGCAGGAGTGGCAAGGACAGGACTCAGGATACCTTCCAAACTGAATCACAGTCTCGGCTGACCCTAGAGAGATCTGGAGTGGCCAGTCATCAAGTGTGGGCTGCCACAGGAAGGCATGTCACCTTGGGGGAGGCAGCTTCCCATAGCTGAGTTAATCCCTGTGGGGGCTAACTGAGCAAGGCTCTCTGAGAACAGTGCCAGCCTGGAGCAGCAGGTCGTTCACTGACAAGGGATCCAAGTAAGGTTTGGTAGAAAGATAATCACAGTGTAGGGGATTTGTCACAGAATACCTCCCATCTCTACCAATACAGGTGGTATGGTGGAGGAAACACTAGTTTAGGACAGGTCATCCCCATGTAGAATATCTAGAGCTGACTGTTAGTATACTACTCATAACAGTAACCTGATAAAGCCCTGATACCAAGACAATGGCTTTTCTTTAAGAAGCATCAGCATCCAGTGCAGTGTTCAAAGCATCCTAAGAATGAAATGACCACTGCCCATAACTAATACAGAGTTCCAATGCACTGCCCTTTTCTCTCCTTATGTAATTGAAGGTTTTCTCCAAACAAAGATCGCTGAAAGAGCTTGTAGGTCTCCAAGACCACCAGCTATTGGCATTTATATAATCACGATAGCACCATTATTGATCAAGTAATGTTCTATTTCCAATGGATACATTTCCAAAGACTACCTACAACTCAGCAGTTAATTCATTTAATAAAACTGTACAGTTGCATTTCTTGGGATACCAATGGGATGTTTTGACACTAGTTATAGAAGTTAAGTGTTCTTTATATCTATCTAGTTATACGTATGAGGTATCTCCAGTGTTTTTGTTAGTGGAAGAAGCAGTTGTGAAGAAAATGATTGAATTTATTGGCTGGCAAGAAGGAGATGGAATATTTAACCCAGGTGAGTACAATTGGTTACAATTAGTTATGTCCATCACCTTTCCACTATAAGCGTATAAAATGTATTCACTTGAAGAACAACTCTGTAGATTTACAAATTACAAAAAGTTGGATATTACTAGGATATACTACTAGGTAGTCAAATTTGTGCCTTTCTCTAGAGACACGGTATTTTGCATAAATGATAAGGTAATGGCATACATGCTTAACAAATGAGATATCTACAATTTAGGCCATATCTAACATAAACAAATTTATCTGCTATTGGGAGTTTGGAAAAGCTATGATAAGTCTTCTGGATTTTTAAATCAATTTTACTTGAGCAAGTTCCTAAATTACATTTGTTTGTCCTATAGTTCTTTTTTGGAGCCAAAGATAAGCGTATAATATCATTTCAATTTTATTGATCATAAGACAGAATATTATTAAATGTGGAGTTTTGAATACTGGCCCTAAGTTTAAGGCTTATAGACTGAAACTTTCAGTTTGGAAGAACCCTAGAATGAGATAATAGACGAAAATTTCTTTCTTTGCTGAGATTGAAAGGTTCTGGTATTGGAGAGTAAGGAGCGTGTAAAAGTAATGTTCAGCGTAATGGGGGGGTGGTGTTTAGGTGACTTTCATAGTGGTTTTAAAAATTTATTTTTTTTTGTACATGTACATACTTTAGTTATCCCTCCTCCATCATCTCCTTTGCCCCATGTCTCAGTTTTACAGGTTTTCAGGGGGAATTTCAATGTATATGATTTTTTTTTATAGAGTGGTCATAGCCATTCATACTTTCCACTGCATTCAATATTTTGGGTACTATAAATTCATGCTATAAAGATGACATTTTAATTTTGTTTTTGCAGGTGGTTCAGTGTCCAATATGTATGCAATGAATTTAGCTAGATACAAATACTGTCCTGATATTAAGGAAAAGGGGCTGTCTGGGTTGCCAAGATTAATCCTTTTCACATCTGCAGAGGTAAAAAATTATTCTTTATATCAGATAAAGATTTTCTGAGAATGCAGCATTTCAGAAGGCTTGTTTGTTTGAAGACATTAATCGTGACTTTATCCTATCTATAAGTGATTAATATGCCTATGTATAGCATAATATTGCATTCCAAAGAACATACTAATGGGTCCTGGCTATCCAGTTTTATACATTAACTTTATTTAAAATTTATAGTCTGCATCATTTTCTTTGAGGAAAGAACGTTTCATTTGAAAGTGCTGTCTCTGTGAATCTCTTCTAGGAGTGTCTTGTTTCTTACAACTTTGGTGGTCACTGCTGATTTCAGATATGTTTTCTACTTACATTTCCTTGTGAAATTACTCTGATTAATAAATAAGGATTTATTTCTTCCTTCTCAAGTGGAAAAGGACATATTCAGTAACAGTGAATACATACACAACCACATATAACCGAATGCTGCCCCGATTTGTTAGCTGTTATTTCACTCTCCGCTGAAGGAGGTGGTCAGATTGTGGGGACATGCATTGGCTTTGAGCTAAGATGCCTACAATCAATTTCTATCTCCATTGCCTGCTAGCTGAGTGACTTTGGATAAGTTGATTGACTTCTCTGTGCCTCAGTTTCCTAATTTGTAAAAATGAGTATCAGTTATTGTATCTAATAAATTGTCCCCAATCCCAATAGCATAGAACTGCTTACAAGTCTCAGGACAGCTGGGCAGTTTTGCTGTTCTTGGCTGGGCTCCCTCCCCTGGACAGGGTTTGGTTGGCCAATTGATGATATGGAAGTGGTTCACCTGTGGTGATGCCAGTGATTCCCCTCTGTTCCGTGTGCTCCTCTCCTTCCAGCAGGCAGTCTCTAGGTGTGTACTCAGGGCACTGGTGTAAGAGCAGGTGAAAATAATGTGCAAACACCCTAGACCTTGAGTCCTAATCTCAGAACTGACACACAATCACTTCTGCCTCATGTTTGTGGCGAAGTAAGCCGTATGAATGAACCTAGATCCAAGTTGGAACTTTTTGCAAAATCATATGGTAAAGGGTCTACATGCAGTGAGCAGTGAACAAGTAGGGGCGTTAAAAGCAACCCAATAACCATGTAGTAGTCACTGATGAGTGAGTTGTTGCAAAAATTAAGTGAGTTACTGCAGACAAAGTAGAATCTGGCACGTAACAGTAAGAAGTGTTAGCTATTATTAAGAGAAGAATCTAACTCAGTGGTTCTGATGCCTGCCTCACAAGCACAAGGTCCCGAGTTTGATCCCTGGTACAAAAAAAAAAAAAAAAAGAGAGGAGAATCATCCAGCTATAACAAGGTGGGCAGAAATTGAAGGTTCAGTTTAAGTGCAGTCTTAGCTAGAAGATTATTTTTTACCTTTTTCTTTTTGATTCCAGTGGGTCCCTCTGTCCTCCTACCACTGCTTCTTCTGTAGAAGGTCCCTCTGGTTAAATTTGTCTGAGGTTCTGCTTCATGCCTAGACTGGGAGTATTGTGTTTTAGAAGGGAGATATAAAGGACCTTTCTCATTACATGATATCAAGAACACATGCTGTACCTATCTGTATTAGTCAGCTTTTGCATTGCTAGGAAAAGATTACCAGACATGTGCAACTTAGATGAGACGTTTACTTCTCCACCCCATCCATGCAGACTCCACTCTGCAGCTCCTTCCTTTCCCTGATCTGCCAAAGGGATTTGGGTCATAGCAATGGCATTATTTTAACTAATATTTTAGCGATCACCTTCTTCACTTGTTTTGACAAGTGCATCCATGATTTAGTCAAGAAAGCATTAAAGAATGCATTTACTAAACAGTCTTAAACCCTGTAGTAGTCTTTTTGCTGTACATCTGTTGTCCTTTAGGCCTTTGGTCCATGACCAGTGATTGTGTTCCTCTACTCTTGCATTGTGGGTTTTCCAGGCTTTATGCTGCCCCAGATGACTCCATTTATGTCTTCACCATCAAATACAGAATGTATGAATTCACCACTGAAGGAATTTTTGCATACTTTAAGATTTGATTGTAATACAGCTGTTAATAAAGACCTGCAAGATCATGACAGAGACTCCTGCCCTGTCAGTATATCCAAGTAGCCTCTCCAGTGCCACATGGCAATCAAAGAGAAGGGGGCTTTTGGAGAAGAGTAATACATTTATGGCTTAACTAACACTTTAATGTACATTCCTTTGTTTTATGTAGAAATCCTAGGCTTGTAAAGTTCCTGAGGAATTCAAATCATTTTTGGATTCAGCAGAAAGTAATGTTCATTTTCTGCCACTAGAAAGAGATGGTAGAAAAGAAACCCACTTCCCAGGCCAGTGGTTTGTGGAACTAGTTCTTCTTTAGCAGGGGTGCAGCCAGAACACAAATGGGATATTAAGGGTGGAGGTCTCAGGGTTGTGCCTGCTTTAACCTTGTAGCCTAGGTTGGATTTAGATATTATTTCAGTCCCTCTTAATGCTCGAACAAGTATCCCTTAAGATGAACTGCCAAAAATGAGACCGAAGTTTGTCCATCTGCATTCTGGCCCTGGTCTCTTTAGGAATTGCACAAGTTGTATGTTTTTGGAAAAATCCTCTAGATATTTCTTTTCTTCCTTCTCTGAAGTATATAGCATTTATAAATTCTGCTCTATCAGCCAATTTAAGCATCAAATTGTTCAGGAATAGAAGGGATGTATGTATCCAGGTATGGTGCACATAGAGGAGAAAGCAGAAGTTCATTGAAAAAGCCAAGGTCATAGGGGAAAAAAAGAAAAGAAAACCCTTCAGGAACTAGAAAATAAAATTTTAGCTTAGTGCTCTTTCATCTAGGTACTTGCTGTTTTATCTTTATAGAAATGAGCACCTGCTGAGATTTTTGTGCCTTCTGTAGATTTATGGAGCCTGTGGGGAGGTTGGGTCTTAGAACAACTGACTTATCTTTTGCCAGTGCTGGGGACAACCACCCTTTGTTTCTAAATGCAGTTGTTATTCTGAATAGCCTTCCAGGTTTTTCCTTTCCTTGAAACTACTCAGCATGTCTGAAGCATCTCTCTCTTTCTCTCCCCTTCCAGGGCCCTTTTCCTTCTCTGATGCTTTCAGATGTTTAGGCTTCAGTTTTTCAGACTTTTTATCCATCCCTATCCATTTGAGAGTGACATTGGGCTGTACTTTGCCCTCAGGTACTTAAAGACAGCTTCACTGCAGCTATTCTTATTCTGATTACAAGTTTTTGATCTAGCACATTTATTGTTTGGTTGTTGATATTTTGCTATTTCTCAGGGGTAGAGCACTGTGATTTTCCTTATAGTTGGATGTCAGTGGGGGTAAGCTAGGTTTATCATTAGGAAGTCAATTGCTGCTCAGTTTCCAGAGCCCAAATCTCTGGTAAGAAATAATTCACCTTAGCTGTGTCACCTTAGCTGTGGCAGACGTGTTCCCTCCAAGCAGCACAGGTGGATGTAGCAAGTAGAGAATTAATTACATTTTCATATAAATTTTTGCTCTTCAGTATGCATATGTTCTTGTAACAACCTAAAATAAATGCATCCTACAGGCAGTTTGGATGTGTCTGTTTGATATTTGGAAATTAATTATTTAGGATGGTTTCATTTTTCCTGATGGTGTTACTTCTGCATTTTATTTTTACAGAGTTCAAAAAAAAGAGCTCCCAATAAAACTCTTGACAAAAAGGAAAAAAATTACCACATTTGAGGGAATATATCAAGTTAAGTGTGAAGGCATGACTACTCTTATAATGTATTCATACCTACAAATTAAATTACTAAGTTTTTTTTTGTACAATAATGTCCTTTAGCACCTTCATTCTTTTGGCATGAAAAATAATTAATTGACCACCTGTCCTCAATAATATATAAAGAATGACATCTCCAACATTTGAATGCTAATTATCTTATCAGCTCCACGTAGTGTGTGTGTGGGGGGGAAGGCCCAACACTCTAAACTACATATTACTATTTGCCAATAAGAAGTAGGTCAGACCTACTTCCAGAACCATCTCTTGGCCGCATTCACACCATAGCTGAGTATTCGTCTATAAATTAATTTTACTGTTTTACTTATGATTTTAGCCACATTCCTGTATGTCTGATTTCAGCCTTGTATTCGATATTAAATAAGATTGGTCAAGTGTCTGGTCAGCATTCACAACCCATTGTTTGCTCTTGGAAATAATTAAACTCTTCTCTAGTCTGTGAATGCAGTCTTTGAGATACGGTCTTACTCTCTCCTTAGAGGGTTTGAGTCAGCAGTGGATTAGAATTCAAGTTTCCACTAATGCTGAGTCTTATTAGTAGCATCAAGAGAAATTTTTCTTTTTCATTTTAGAAAACAATGGCCTCCAGGGACCAAGTTTGTTCCATAGGGTAGGCTCTGGGTTAAATCCTTTCATACATTAACCTATCACATTCTATAACGAGCTGGTGGAAGAGGTATTGCTGATGTGACCACCTTATAAATTAGTAAAATGAGGCTTAGAGAATGTGCCTTACTTGTTCAAGGTTCTATAATTCTGGTTAATGTGACCACAAAGTCCGTGTTCTCAACTAACTAAAGAGCTTAAGTAAGTTACTGTTTTCCTTTTTTTCTGTGCAGTAATCCAAAGATTATGTTCTGCTACAAAGGCACACACCTATTTGGATACAAAGTAATGCATTATTCATGCTATGCAGTACATTCATCTCTCACCCTCCCTCTCCCCCCCTTCAATTCAGTGTCATTACTCCATGAAGAAGTCAGCCTCTTTTCTGGGGATTGGCACTGAGAACGTGTGCTTTGTGGAAACAGATGGAAGGTAATGGGGACAGGATCCGGAAGCTGGTGGGTGGAGGGATAATTCATACTGTTTAAAAAGCAGCACCATTGCCTGTGAACTGCTAAATATAACTGACAGTTTTAAATTTGTACCCCTTAGAGGTAAAATGATACCTGAGGAACTGGAAAAGCAGGTCCTGCAAGCCAGGAAAGAGGTAAGGAGGGGGTGAGGGAGTGATGGATGGAGAGAGGAGGGAGGACAGAAGACAAGGAAGAAAGGAGAGAGAGAGAGGGAGAATACAAAAAGCCAAATCTATTTTTATATGTGAGACAGAGGAGAGTGTGTTGGAGTTAAAGTAGGGAAACTTATTTACAGATGTTCTATTTCCAGGTGGTTGGCTCTCCATGTTTTGTGGAGTTTCTCGGATGTTGTCATTCCTGGGTGGCTGGAGCCTATTAAAATACTGCCATCACTGTTGTTCAGGATTCCTGGCTGGAATAAGCCCTAAAGATGACCCTAGCCAATCCAGCAGAACCCCAGCATCCATTCTCCTGACTACCCCCACCCCGCCAAGTCTGAAGGCCAAACTCGTTGTCTGGGCTGCATTCAGGATGATTCTTTATTTCTTGATCAGTCTGTCCTCCTAGTTGCTTCCAACCCAAAGCCTGTACATTGGTAGCACCTCACAGTGGGCCTGAGTCTCAGTTCAGGGACACAATGTCCTGTCTTCTTTATCTGCTTAAATATTTTAAGGTTGAAATGTCCATTATTGGATAAGGCCAGACTTGGTCCTGGTTTCCCACTGTGACCAAATAAAGCTATTCCTGACACCTGCTTTTTCAAAAGGTGGCTTCTTATTCTGGAGCCAGGCATTTTGCTTCTTGGGTCCAAAGCCGACTGGATGTGGTACTCCCTCTCCACTGCTTGCCTCCCCTCCCACCACGTTCCTGCTGCTGGTGGAGATTCAGATTATTCTCTGCTAACTTCCTGATAGGTAGTAGTACAGTCAGGGTCACCTTAGAAAAATAGCCCAGCATGCGAGCTGAGGTGTAAGTACATCTGTCCTCACAGGGATTCATTCTCTAAAAACAATGAGTTGTTAAAATTTTAATGTTGAATTTATCTTGTTGTATTCTTCTTTGAAATTTTCATACAAGTCACCTGCAGTTTCAAGAAAATCACTTTGAGGGCGTGCTAGATTGCTATGTTTGATTTTAAGTCCATACTTTTAAAAAATCTGGTGTTACTGTGTATGTATTGGCTTCAGGTTTCTATCCCTAAATGTACATTTATCCTTTAAGATTCTCATGATTAGTAGATTTAGTAATTATCTGGTGGTTCAGCTTATCATACTTCTTTGACTTTTGGGTAAAATTCTACAAAACACATGTGAGTAGTTTATTCTGCTGTGAACCACAGGTAGTGCTTTCTAGTTTCATTTTCTATAGAATTTCCTATGAAAAAACTTTCATTATATCGTGAATTCTAGAATTCTTCTTGGTGAGGACTACGTATTACACTATTTTCATGGTTCCCATTACTCCTTCCTTCTTTCTTCCTTCTCTTCTTCCTTTTCCTTCTCATTCATTCTTATTCCTCCCTCCTTACTCTACCTCTCTCACTCTTTCTCTCTCTCTTTATTCCTTTCCTTTTCTTCCTTTCCTCCCCCCTTTCTTTCTCTCTCTGTCTTTCTTCCTTCCTTCCTTTCTTCCTTCCTTCCTTTCTTTCTTTCTTTCTTTCTTTCTTTCTTTCTTTCTTTCTTTCTTTCTTTCTTTCTTTCTTTCTTTCTTTC